GTGGGGTCCCCCCCCCCCCATTTTCACGACAAAAAGACCGAGGGGGAGTAGGGGGGGTGTGTGGGGGTGTCTCCCCCCTCCCCCCTCCGAGGGGAAGGGAAAAATGGGGGAGGGTTTGGTCTTTCACCTCTACACTAAAAAAACCAAAGCCCCGTGAAGGGTGTTTGGCCCCCCCCCCCCTTCTCCCCCCCCCACAAACAAGGCCCGTTAAGGGGTGGGGGCCCCCCCCCTCTCCCCTCCCAAACCAGGGGGAAGGAAGGAGTTAAGGTTTAACCTTATACCACCAACCAGGGCCCGTGGGGGGGGGGGGGGGGGTTGGTGCGCTGCACCCTGTCAAACACAGAGCTGCAGGGCAATCAGGGGATTGGGGAGCTCCCCCCTATCAGGCACAGAGCAGGGCAGATAGGGAGGTTGTGGCCCCGCCCTCTGTCACACACAGAGGGCGATCAGGGGGTTTGGGCGCTGCCCCCTGTCATGCTGATCCCGGTGCCGGGAGCCTCACTGCTCCGCTGATCCCGGTGCTGGGAGGCATATTACCCTTTTACTTTATAGAATAGAGGCCTGGTGCATGGGTAGGGGCTGGCTGGTTTTCCCTGAAGGGTGTCCTGGATTAGGGTGGGGGTCCCCACTGGGGTGCCTGGCCAGTCTGGGTGAGGGGCTGAGGGCTGTTTTCCCGAAGCGAGTGACTGAAGCTTCGAACCACTCCTTGTTTTCTTTTTGTTTGTTTTTTTATTCTGGGCCAGCTTTAGCTCTGAGGCCTCGCTGCTGAAAACATCGATACAATGTTGCTAAAGCCCGGCTGACTGAAAGCCGGTTTCTGGGGTTTTGTTTATCTTCTATGTTTGCAACATAGTACATAGTTGCTTAGAGTTGTAGCTCAGAGGCCGGCAGCGCAGGCGGGGAACGTTGGAGTCCTCCTTCACTGCAGCAAGCAAGCCTCATGTTCGCTTCCAGCTGCCTGGCTGCCAGCCGCCATCTTGGCTGACAGTTAATTTGCATATACTCACTGATTAGCCAATGAAAAGGGTAGCGGTCGTACGCTAATTACCATGTTTCTCTTTTATTAGTGTAGATATCAAAAATATAAGTCTTAGTTTTACTATGGTTGCAAATATCAAAAAATTTCTATATGTGACACGGCACCAGAGTTAAGTTAGGGTTTTTCAAAATGCTGACACGCCGAGCTCAAAAGGTTCACCATCACTGCCATAGACCAACGTTCTATCCACTGAACCAAACCGGCTAGGCTGCAAACAATTTTTAGGAGGAAGCTAAGAATCATTTACAATAATTAACACCTAGTTTCCACTTGTGCCATAAAAATGCCTAATGACGTTGAATCTGAAGCAGTTTCGCTAATAATGCCATTTAGCACCTAAAATGCATTAGCAAACTGTATACCCCTCCATAAAACATTCACTTCTGAATTATCATTACCTTGGCTTGTGTCCATCTTATTAAACAAAACATATGCTCCAGCAACGCCCAGAAATTCAGCTACTAAAACTCCTTTAAAGATCTTCTTTGCCAGTGGTTCCAAAGTGCGGACCATCCTAAGTTTAACAACAAATATACGTGAACCTAAATGAGCATATTAAAACGTAATGTCACTTCTATAAAAATAACTCCATTCCCACAGTTTGATTATCTCAGTATGTTGGTATTGTCCTGAGCACGCTCTTTGTCACACTGTTCTGCCCTTTGTGCAGGTGGTATGTTCTCTAATACTCTGCAGTCCCAGCTCAGCTCACTGTCACGCCTTTACTCCATTCACTCCTGACTCCTTTTCACAACACCTGAGGGTGGGGAGGTAATTAAATACCCTACCTTTGTAGTATCCTACTAAAATCATTATCAGGTGTCCCCCCCCCCCAATATTTCCTTCTCTCATTTTGATAATGTGATCCCTGGGGACTAAAAGATTAAAACTTTACTATTCTTACCCAAAAGAAGCAGGGGAAGTGAAAGAAAAAAAAAGGACTTATAACCATCAGGCAGGTGAGTGGGTGAGAAGAGTTGTTTTGCTCTTGACTACAATGCTGTACATTACTGACAGGAAATAAGCCCTCATCAGTACAGGGAGCTCTCGGGGTTATTTTTAATGTTCAAGGGGTGAAAAGAACAAAACAGCCTGCCTGTAGCCAGACTTACAGTATAAGGAATCCCAGTAAAATGCCATTTCGTTTTGTTGAAGAGAGTGAGGTTAAGGGTTCAAACAATAAAGTCCAAATAACACTGTATAATAAATCATGCACCTTTCTTGAAAATGTATACATATGTACAAACACACACGTTTTACATTGCAAGTCCCTCAGCTTCAGGTTGTAACGACGGATAAAGCCCGTGAGATAAAGACCACCGAAGGCATACTGTGCACAAGAGTTAGGCTACTAACCTGCAGGGGAGAAACAAGAGCAGACAAGCTATTAAGAAGGTTGGAAGTTAGGTGACGTTTCAAATAAATCGGTCCTCTAGTGGGCTCAGAGAAAAGCAGCGCTGTGATCATGGGGTTAACATCGCACGGGGCTCAGTGCACACAAGCTTAAGACAAGGCTCAACGTGGCATCCGAAGACCCGTCATCTGTGCACCACAGCGGGAGATCTGCAGGCTCGGTATCTCCAGGCAGCACCCTGTCCCGCAGCAAGGACTCACAGTCTAGTCTAGAATAAGATATTGAACAAGATTTCTCAGCTACGTCTTTCCAGGTTCCCACCCGCAAAAGCCGAGCAGCCTGCGAGGCGCCTGCGCGCGACCTCAGGCCGGGTACCCACGATCCTCAGCCCCTCGCCGCCTCGCACCACCAGAGCCCCTGCTCCCACCGTCTGCCCAGCTGCCCCCGGGATCCCAGGGCACTCCAGCCCGGCCTGCACCGCCCCGGCCCTGGGGCCAAGGTCGCCGAGCAACCCGGAAACACTCGGTCAATCCGGCGGCGTGAGCGGGGAGACATGGCCCCGAGTGTCCTCAGCATGAGCCCAGTGTCCTCAGCATAACGAGGGCGCCCCCAGACTTGCCGAACTCCCGCTCTGGGTAGCACAAATCTAGCTCCGAACTAGTGCCCGCCCCGCTGTCTTACCTGAGTCGCGTGCACTAGGGGCTGCGCGTGCGCAAGAATTGACAGAGCCCCGCCCCTCCCGGCGATGACCCCGCCCCCAGGGCGTAATTTGCATTTCTTGTCCTCTTGCTAGGAGCCTATCTTGACTGTGGCCTACATACCTCAGTTTATGTAATCCTCAAAACAACCCCATGCTGTGACGATCTCATTTCACGGGGAAGGGGAAAGGCTTACCCCGCCCACAAGCATACAGCCTATAAAGACAGGACTCGGATTTGAACCAAGGCTGCTAACTCCAAAGCCTGTGCTCATTCTTCCGCACCCTTCAGCCCAAAGTGTGATGGTCTCCAAGAATCAGCAGTACTGGCTTTCCCCTGGGAGCTTGTTAGAAAAGCAGATCCACCGGCTCAAAATCTGCTTTTTAGCCAGATCCCTAGACAATTCTATTGCAAATTAAAATTTGAGCAGTATAGCCCATAATACCCTGTAGGAGGATGAGAGGGGATGGGTAAAGAAATGGGATATAAAGGTCTACTGAGGTACCAGGTGCAACGCAAAGCCTGGACTGTTTTCCTATCAGTAATGTACAGTATTGTAGTGAACAGCAAAACAACTCCCCCACCCACTCACCTGCCTGATGTTATCATTTCTTCTCTTTCTTCTTGTTTTTTTAAACTTCCTCTGTTTCGTTTCTTTTAGGTAAGAATAGTAAAGTTTTCATCTTTTTGTCCCACAGGGTGATCACATTATCAAAATAAGAGGAGGGAATATTGTGGGGAAGGGACACCTGATAACGAATTTTTGTCACCTGTTCCCTCTCTCTCTCTCTCTCTGACTAAAAAAACACACAAATTAATTAAAAGAAAAGAAGGTAAGTAGAAACGTTCTCTTTAATCTCAAGGAAAGGAGCTTTAAATAAACCTCCTATGCTACTGCCACCAGGGCCAGGAACCAAGTCAGGAAGCACTGTCTGAGAGGTCCACCCCCACTTACCCTGGGCCTGAGTGGACCCGGGAGCCGAACTGCAAGCTGGGATCTCACAGGACCTGCGGGCACCCTGCACTCAAAGGCACGCCAGGGAATGGATCATGTAGCCTAGGTTATGTTGCCATCATTCCTGCCACTGTTTCCTCCCCTCATGCATACCGGACAAGTAGAGTGGAGAATCGTAAGGTTGACAGGTTGCCCTGAGCCTAGGCCCTAGGGAAACTAACAAGAATCAGAGCTCCTATTACCAAATCAAAACAGCCCTGAATCCTCCTGTAACTACAGGCATTAAGGTCAGAACAGGATCCAGCTATACTGTCTTTTTTAATGTTTTACTCACTAAGATGCAAGCAAAGGACAATAACAACGTTTGAATTAATACCTTAAAGTCTATCTTCCCCAGGGAAACAAGGCTCTGTACAATGGAGGGGACAATCCCATAAGCAGCTTGGCAGGGAGTCCAGTCCTACCCCTTTTCCTTTCAGGGAGGAAGTTCTGAAACACACAACCTTCCCACCTTCAGTGAATAGCATCCTCTTATTATGTAAGGTAATAAGACCTTCAAAAGGGAGTGCTGTTTGGAAATTAAAACATAGCAAAAACACTCGCATATTCTAATTTTACCTTTTTACAAACTTCAAAAAAATTAATCACAACTATAACAAAACCCAGACACCTGTTCCTAACTAGGCACTCTCTTTGGTCAGTTCTGTCCTCTCAAAATGGAGATTAAAAGAGGTTAGCTAAAGAATTTATAAGCATACATGCATTGGATACAGACAATAGACCGGTGAAGGCCTGGGGTGGGATGGGGAGATGGGTGGAGGGGAGCAAAAGGGGAGAAATGGGCATGTTTATAATACTCTCAACAATAAAATAATTTTTTTAAGAAATGGAGATTAAAAGCTGCCCTCCCACATCCACCACTGCCTCAGTCAGATACTTTCTGTTGATATAAAGTTTCCACCATTCTATGATGCATGTGTTCCTATAGGCTTACATTTCCGAAATTGGAAGGCATCTCACAATTGCTGTGTACATTTGACACAGTGATTTCCCAAAATGCTGTTATTAAATGAAGTCTTCTAAAACCCAGGAAATGTATTTCCCTTGTGGTCATAAAAATATCTCTCCTCAGAAGGTAAGAGTTTGGGATTTGGTTGTTTGTTTCAGTGAAAAGTCCCATGGCCTTGTGTCTTGTAGCACATGAAGAAGCACCAGGAATGCAGTGGCGCTAACTAAACCTGAGACCTCTAAGAAAGATCTTGCTGCAATTGCCTCTTTGCCAAGAAACTCAGCCTGCATTCCAGTTCCAGCTCCTCAAACTCCTGACTCTATTTAGCTCCATAAAACTTCAATTAACCTACCTTGGAAATGGTAACAGTAGTAACACTGATTTCATAGGGCTGTTATGAATATGAAGGTACATTAAATCATCTATTACTTGGCAGCATGCCGGTACACACAAGTGATCAATTTTTGTTAGCCATTATTAAATGATGCTAGCTATTGTTTTAACCCAGCGGTTCTCAACCTGTGGGTTGTGACTCCTTTGGGGGTCGAACGACCCTTTCACAGGGGTTGCCTAAGACCATCGGAAAACACATATATAATTACATATTGTTTTTGTGATTAATCACTATGCTTTAATTATGTTCAATTTGTAACAATGAAATTGGGGGTCACCAAACATGAGGAACTGTATTAAAGGGTCACGGCATTAGGAAGGTTGAGAACCACTATAATAACTGATATATGAGTGACTGCAGCAGCTAAGTATACATAGCTAGGAGTTAACTTCTTAAGTTTTAGCATTAGTTTAGAGCCGTGGTCGGCAAACTGCAGCTCACGAGCCACATGCGGCTCTTTGGCCCCTTGAGTGTGGCTCTTCCTAAGCCTTAGGAGTACCCTAATCAACTTAATAACAATGTACCTACCTATATAGTTTAAGTTTAAAAAATTTGGCTCTCAAAAGAAATTTCAATCGTTGAACTGTTGATATTTGGCTCTGTTGACTAATGAGTTTCTAGATTCTAGACGAGTCTCAACTGGGCTGACTGGGCACGCCAAGTCTCTGCCACGTATCTGTTCCATGCCAGTAGGCTACCTCAGGAATGTCCTCGTGAAGATGACAGAAACACAAGAAAGAGCAAGGCCTCTCGAGTTGTAGACTTAGAAGCACCAAACTTGCACTTCTGCTTCATTCTATTACCCAAAGCCAGGCACATGGTCAGGTCCTGAGACAGAGGCAGAGGACACTTCAAAGTTAAATGCCCAAGGGGGGGGGTGGATGCAGAGAGGGTAAGAGATCATTCAACTCATCAGCAAGACCTATCAATTCTACCTTAGAAATACTTTCCACACCTGCCCAATACTCCTTCTATCTTATTGCTACCACCACTTCAGTTCACCATGATCTCTCTTACCTATCACCACCTGACTGCTCTGTCCAAATCTTTCTTGTCCATTCCTTCTCAGACCATTCTCAATGCAGCAACGAGAATAAACTTAAAAAGAAAACCTCCTCTGACCACTCATTTAATTAAGTCTGCCAAATGGTTTCCTATTGTTCTCAGGATAAAGGTGAAAATCCTGACTAAGGCCTGAATTGTTTTCAATTTTCAATTGATGGGTTATTTTAAAGCAAATAGATGAACCTGGTGAAAGGGAGAAAGAGTGAAGAGGGAGTGTGGGAAAGAGAGGCTTTGTAATGACTTCCATGTGAGGACAGCCTGGGAGCCCTTTCTCCAACTTCATCTCCTTCCATCCTTTCTCTGACTTTATGGTTGGAACACATCATAATTCCCCAACTTGTACACTATTTCAAGCCTCTGGGGTCTTACTTGGACTGCTCTGTTTCTAAGTAGAGTTCTTTATCCCTTCTTTTGGTACGGATTCAAAACTCTCTGCCTTATCCCCTGTAAAAAGAAGAGAGGAGAAGAGCCTTGATTGGTTTGGCTCAGTGGATAGAGCATTGGCCTGCGGACTGATGGGTCTCAGGTTCAGGAGAGGAAGAGGATGGGGAGAGGAAGACAGGTTTCATTCCACGAATTGCTTTTTGCTAATAAGAAAACTGTATACCTGATTCAATTAAATAATTACTTGTTAGATGTTTAATATATATTATTGTCTATTAACAGATTCCATTCTTACCTTCATTGTGGAAGTTGCCTATAATGGTAATATAATCAACCCTTGGTCTAATATTCTCTGATCCTCAGCTGTTTTGCACCTGGGGTTTGCCTTTTGTCAGAGGTGGGTATTCAAAAGGCTGGGGGAGGGGTGTTGGATGAGAATTAAATGACTTCCTTCTCATGTGAATGGGAGGAGCCGTTTATTCCACCTCCTGAGCAGCTCCATTAAAAGCTATCACTGCCCCTATAGCGCAGGTTCATTCACAGGGACCCAGCATGGCCGATAAGTCAAAATTTATTGACTACATTGATGAAGCTTTGGAAAAATCTAAAGAAACTGCACTTTCTCGCTTGTTTTTCACCCATCAGGGGATTCCTTACCCTGTCACCATGTGCACCTTAGAAACCTTCCAAGCCTTGGACACCTTTGAAGCCAGAAGGGATGACATCCTGCTAGCATCTTATCCAAAGTGTGGTAAATAGCAGC